GGAATAGGCAAAACCACCAAATGGGTTGGGGGGGGGGGGGGGGGGGCGGGGGGCGCAAGCACTCCCATAATACGCTCAACGCAGCGGAAAAGCACGCGCATCCTGTTGCACTCTCCAACATCGTAGGCGCCCTAAACATTTAACGTCCTCATCTATTGTTCTACACGGCATGTTACAATAGAAAGTAATACGGCGAATTGCTAACGTCAAGCATGTGCACCACCGGGGATACAAACCACGCGCGTTGAACCGGCCTGTCCAAGCGCAAACGTCTGTGCTGCTAAGCTACTACTCATACGAATTGGCGCGCATGCACGCGCGATTGCTCCCATGCCGAAAAACAACTACATCATTCCACACAGGCGGCGTCTTCCTGCCTGCCAACACCACACCACAATATGCAACGTCCTCGCTCGCTCTCCTAGCGAATAAATCGCGGGAGAACCAAGGCATGAAGTTAACAAACAAAGCCCCAGAACGGGGGAGGGGGGGTAAGAGGAGGGAAGCAACTCCGTGCCCCCGGCCCTGTCGCAGCCGTCACGACGCAATTTGCGAGGGGCGGGCTTTCTGCCCAGCTGTCCAAAATACTCCCATGCCCTGCAAAATTAAAAAGAGAACTACGTAAGGCGGTAGGATACAAATTTACTTTTTTTTTCGGCCCGTGCACTCCACTCCATTCCACTCCATTCCAAGCCACGCGGTCATATGGGCATAAAACACCCCCAACCCCACCCAATGCCCGGGGTTCCATGAATCGATTTTCGTCAACAACAGCAAAACACTCTTTATGTACCAGTAAACCGAACCGAACCGAACCGAACCGAACCGAACCAAGTGCTTGCTGCTACACGTATCCCTCCATAATCAGTGGGGCTGCTGGGGCTGCTGGTGCTGCCGCTCTACCGTGCCCCTGCCGGCCGGTCCCCCCCCCCCCCGTATGCCCCTCCTCCCGGGGGTGCTGCCCGAGCTACTAGTCGGCGTGGTCGTCGCGAAGCTAGTCGAGCTGCTGCTCGGCGCCACCCCTTTCAACGATTCCGCTGCCGGTCTCACACCCGCCACATCACCCCTGCTGCCGCCGCCGCGAGTACCGGGCGGATCCTCGCCTCCGCTACCACCGTTGCTCCTGCTACCCCTCCGGCTGCCGCTGCCGCTGCGGCTCCCGTTTCGGCTCCCGTTTCGGCTCCCGCTCCCGCCGCTTCCATGCCGGCGCCGCCTTCCCTCCTGTACAGCCTGTTGCTGCTGCTGCTGCTGCTGCGCCGCGCCTACAGCGGCGCCCAGCTCCTCATCGGCGGGAGTCGCGAGCCACCGATGTTCCATCGCCTGCTCGCCGGTGAATCGCAGGTTGTGGTCCAGCTGCATGAGGCCGACGATAAGCTCCCGCGCCGCCGCCGGGAGCTTGTCCCACAGGGACGCGCCGCCCCTGCCGAGCCCCAGGCGGCCGTGGCACGTGTTGCGGAAGATCTCGGAAGGGCTGTTGCCCGCGAAAGGCGCCCGTCCCATGAGCATCATGTACAGCACGCAGCCGCAAGAGAACCTGGAGGGACGCGTGTGTCGTGGTGTGAGGTGCTTGAAGATTGAACACAGGCAAGGGTTATGGTATGTGAGGAGAGACCGATTATGCACACGCAAAGGCTATGAAGAAAAGAGACCGACCATTAATTCATGTGTGCAAACCAGCGCCGTGTAACGAGACCGACCACGCATACAAGCGCGCTGTGTAGAGACGTACTGGCTAGAACCAGGTGAAAAAAGGGGAAACGACCGTCAAGAACAGTAGTGTAGGTGCGACGCAGAGTCAATTTTCGTGTTGTTTGTGGACAACATATCCAGATTCTTCTTCTTGAACGGCACTGCTGTTCTCCACTATGTGCTGCACTGCTTGCATCTATGTATACCATTTACCAGGCTACTCACCAGTCGACCTCTTTGCCGTACATGCCGTGCAAGATGGACTCGGGGGCCATGTACGAGGGAGTGCCCATCAGCTGGCAGATGGATCACATCACATCGGACGCATCGGACAGATCGATCGATCAGTCGGGTGTTGAGCGGTGCGATGGAGGCAGCCCGCCAGAGGAAGAATAATACCGACCAGACGCATGTGATGCGACGAGGACAAGATTAGTGACGGTAGATAGGATCGCATAACAGAGAGGAGAGGGAGGACCACGCAGGGCGGATACAGCATCGCGCCAGACATTCGAACAAGAAACAAGAAACAAGCAAGAACGAGAGGGAATCAAAACGAAAAGATGGGAGAGAGAATAAAACGCAACAGTTCAGACAGCAACATTATGCGGACTAGAATCTCTGACTGTCAAAATGAAAAACGAAGACAGTGAACGAACTGCTCATGCACACAGCTTGGCTTGCCCGCCCAACCTTCGATGCAAGAACGTACAGACACATTTACCTTGCTCGGGAGCATTTGGAAGATTCTGCACAACCGCATAAGAACGATTGCATTGCATTGCATTGCATACGTCTGTCGCTCTCGTTTGGGACTGGAGCAGCAGTGCATGACGTGGCGTCAAGGCAAAATGTAGAAGAGAGAGAGAGGCACACCATCGCGGTGTCAGAAACGAACCTGCTTGCCGCAGGCGAGCCGCGACTTGGGCGAGACTTGGTGCGAAAAGCCAAAGTCGGATAGTATGACCCCTCCTAGGTTGCCGTCTCCATCATCCACCAGCAAGATGTTCTCCGGCTTGATGTCGCGATGCAAGATGCCTGCCAAACACAACAAAACGGGCGTTGTCGTCAATTGTTCAGTAAGGTAAGGACAAACGATGGTTTGGAAGCCGGGCGATGCAAGCAAGATGACTGACAAACATAACATGGGCGTTGTCGTGTCGTCATTTGTTCAACAACATGTTCTCCGGCTTGATGTCGCGATGCAAGATGCTTGACAAACAAAACAAAAAGGGGGTTGTCGTAATTCGTTCAATAAGGTAAGGACAAACGATGGTTTGGAAAGCCGGGCGACGCAAGCAAGATGCCTGAGAAAAAGGCGATATTGGCATGCAGCCACTGAGGGCCAACAACGACTGTTTGGCAGCTGGCTCCACGACCAACACCCTCGTAACGCAGGGAGGAGCACAACGACACGTGCGAATACTTTCGGGACAAAAAGACGTGTCGTAGGGGTTTACAGTCCCGCGGATTTCCTTCGTAAGGTCAAAAACCAGTATGGGGAACCGGATTTGTTTTCAACTTGACGTCCAAATGCAAGGAATGTATTTCGTTGATGCGGACAAGACATAATCGAATCTGTCAGTGCTGTGCGCTTGGAACGAGCGTCTAGGCTGCTCTTGTGTTGGTCCGCGTACCGCACGGACTCTCAAGTAGCTGGCAACCACTTAATAGCACGTCTCTATGGCCAAAGCTCCGAAATGCAATTCATTAGGCACATATTCGTGTTCTCTAGCATACCAATAGGGTTAGGGTCTCTTATTTGTACATAACACAACACAAATTCGCAATCTCTAGGAGTTGGCCTTAGAGCTTAGGCTTACGGTTAGCGATCGCACGCACACTCACCGAGCGTGTGGAGATACAAGACAGCCTCGCACAGCGGCCTCATGACAGTCCTGGCCTGGCTCGAGGTGAAGCACCGAGACGGTTGCGATCGCACCTTTCATCACAAGAAGCAGAAGCAGCAGCAGCAGTAGCAGCAGCAGCAGCGGTTGGGCAAACACGAGCGGCGACACCGGACAACCACGGACATACGGTGAGCAACAACAAAGAAGAGATCACCCCGATGACACATGATTATATTTTCAAGCACGTCGGTAATCCGCATTCCACGTGCTGACGACAAAACAACCATGACGTTCCACGTACTCAACAACAAAAACAACAACGACAACGAAGAGCTCATCTCCATGACACATTTTCAAGCATATCGATGTTACGCATTCCACCCACTTCGCTCACAACAAAAACAAAAAAACAATGACAGCGGAGAGCTGATCCCGATGACGTATTTTCAAGCCAATCGATGCTCCGCGATTCACGCGCGAACAACAATAACGACAACAACGCGCTCATCTTCATGACCCTTGTCATGGTCGAACCTTTATTGCCCTTGCCATCGTCGAACACAATAACAACAGTAGAGACCCGATCCTGACGACAATTTCTATCACATCAATATAACACTCCGTCACCCCCTCCAACACAAAGTCGATACTACGTCGCCCCGTCCAACGAGCAACTGATTCTACGTCACCCCCCTCCGACACACCTTGTCCCAGAGGTCTCCCCCTCTGCAGAGCGTCATGACGATCGCGATGGACCGGGGGTCCTCGTGGACGGCCTCAAGCCGGACAACATTGGGGTGCGACACGAGCTTCAGGGCACCTGCACGTACACACGCACGCCAACCAAGAGCAAGACTTGATGAACAACAAAACGTCCCGACATTAATGTATTAAGATAGGTCAGTATTATCGTACGGAGGAAGTGCGGCCGCACGTCTCAGGTATTTTGAGTGCGAACCATCGAAGAAATTGACGGGCCTTTGTTTCATGTCTTCGCGCGGGAACGCAAGCGAAACACGTCCTCCACACGTGGGTGTTCATTTCCAGTGGTACCACAGCAGCAGGGCCGTCGACCAGCCACGCACACCCCCCCGCAGACCACAAGAGAGCGTCGCTGACCATCCCGTAAGCCCTCCCAAGGACCAAAACATGAAGTACGTCGTGAAAGAACAAAAAAACGCGTCGTAATAATCGTCCTAGCTCCTTGCCTCGCTGGTCTCGTAACTTGGACGGACGTAGAAAGTTTAATCTCATCACGACCTGCCGCTGTACTGCATGCTATCCCCCCCCTCCCCCGACACGTTAGGCCCCACCCCGGTACAGACCTATCTCTCCGCGCAAGAGGAACTTTTCGTGGGACGAGAGGCTGGTCTTGTCGATGACCTTCACCGCAAATTCCTCTTGGGTATCCTTGCGGACGCAGCGATGCACCTGCGGTTTCGCCGCGGATGGAAATCGTCGAACGATCGAATCAGCATTGGAACATTGAGCACGGATAAGATCGTAACCGTCCCGTCAGTTGCCACCAACAGCAACAAATATTAAATCGGTTTCACCGAAACTGTGATACAAAAACAACACCACACACATCAAACTTCATAATATACGGAAATATGGTTTCCATTTTCATGGAATGACTATTTCGTGTTCATGGAACGACGGTTTCACTCTCATGGAATACAACAGTTCCACTTTCATGGAATAAGAAGTATGACGGTTTCACTCACAGACGCGAAAGCCCCCTTCCTGAGCAACGCCTTGATTTGGAAGATGTCTTCCAAAGGCACCACCCTCGACGCCACCCGAAGCTCTGCCACCCACTCGTCGCGATCCTGCAGATATATCATACGACAATTAGGGGTACCATACATGATAAGATGAGGTACACACCACAAAGTCACAAAGAGGTACAATCCATCTTTGGGTGGCGTACCCTGCCTTCGTCATGATAGAAATATACCGTACATCGAAGGTGACGTGCACTGAACGTGTCAATAAAAGTACTTCAAAGTACATTACACTGCGTATTTGTTTCTGAACAAGGTACAAACCATCATGGGGTGAGCTGCACAGCCTTTTTATCGGTCTCTTCGCCACAAAGACAAACGATCCTGAGCGAAAAGTTCTCCCGCACACGAATGCTGAGCGAAAAGTTCTCCCGCACGCGAATGCTGAGCGAAAAGTTCTCCCGCTCATGACGAAAAAGCGCAAGTTCCCAGAAGAACAATTCGAAAATTACAGAAAAATCCTTCACATCAACTTGTTTCGGTACGACCCACAGGACATGAAACCGTCACTCGTCACTCGTCGACTGACATCCTCCCCAAGTCCAAGTGTACCTTGGAGGGAGAGCTAGGGCTATAGATGCTTTGGGTCAGGGACAATGTTCGTGGGTGACTCAAGATATTACACCCCCCTTTGCACCGATTTTCATCCAAGTTCGAATACACCACAACGCACAGGAAGTAGAAAAAAAAAGTTGGTTTTCGGAAAGCTCTCGACGAGACGGTTGGTTCCAACGCGGCTTCTATCTGTTGAGAAACAATCGAGCAGTGAAAGCCACTACCATCCAGGGCGTGTGATATCTTACGTCATGTTATGTCATGTCGCCTACGGTAGACGGTAAGGGTTACATTGTACTGGTGCGGTTTTACCTGTGCGGTCTTGGCCAGAAAGAGCCGGGCGTTGCTGTCCTTGCCGTGGTGGTTCGGCCGGAAAAGCCTGTCGCGCGCGCGTGTCCCGTGTGTCATTTCGTCCCATGTATATACCCCAATGTGTGCCGTAACCCCATCCGACCCAGTCGCCATACCGTGGGAGAAGAAGACATCATCCATCGGGGGCGGCAAGCGTCCACACACAGGCAAGACGGACGGGAGACGCGTATGCCAAAAACACCGGCGGCCGCGCCGGTAACAAAAACGGGACGGAAACGGGACGGAAAAATTGCGCGGGAAACCATGATGAGAAAATTGCAGCATACGGAAGACCAGGAGGCAAGCCCGTCAAGATGATCGCACGGAGACTGCACCCCATGCCAAGCGGCGACACTAGAGGGATATTGCAACAACGCCTTGTTGGGCAAAATTCCTCAGCAATGCACGCGGCTGGAGCACCAACTGGGGCACCGACACAAACGGTGGCCCAACGACGCGCACAAGTGCTAAACACAGCTGGTGAGCATGAAGCATAAATCGGACCATGACGCCGAACGCACGGTACGGTACGGTATGGTATGGTACGGTACGGTATGGTAGCAAGGACCAGCGAAGCGTGGGAGCAACAGAAACGGAGGCTCCCCCTCGTCCTCTCAACTCCCGTCCTAGGGCGTGCCTATTTCGTGTTCCCTGTTAGACACGCCTGCTTGGTGAGGCGGCAGTCCGATCATTTCAGGGGCATGTCAATAACATATATTTTCTCCTTTTCCCGTTAAAAACGCCTGCTTGTGGAGGCGGGAGTTCCATCCCTCTCCAAAGGCATGTCTATCCTATATATTTCCTTCCTTCCCGTTAAAAACGCCTGTTTGCCGAGGCAGGAATTTCTTTCTCCAGAACAAGAGCAAGCGGCAGCATCAGCAGCAGCAGCAGCGTGCGTACCTGAGACCGTAGTACCCGTTGGGCACGCGGGACTTGCGAGGCTCCTTCTCCTTCCTAGCGGCGAGGTCTTCCCCCGCTGGTTCTTGTTCGTCCGAGGACACCGCCTCCGCGATGCACCCCGGCAAAGAGATAACGCCCCTGGGTTTCCGATCCCTGCACATGCACACAGAACAGAGCCCCCCCACACGACACACATTCAAGAGACAAAAACGTTGAGCCAGCCCCTTCTTCGGACCACCAGACCCAAACTTTCAAGACACACGAAAATTAGTGAGGTAATACAGCTAGCTCATCAGCGGTAAACAGATCCTACGCAAAGTTGAAGAGTATACAACGATAACCTATGCTTGACGATAGCGACGGCACACGAAACAAGTTGAGCCTGGGACCCGAGACTGACTTGATTGCGGGTCCGTTCTGTGACCCGCCCAAGAGGAACGGCGGATGAACAGGATGAAGACACAAAGTGTGTGCAATCAACCCCGATCGATCAACCCAACCGTGGCGCTTTCGAGGCTTCCGGGACAGCCAACAACTGCCGGTGCCCAATCTAGCGTTCTAGCGTCTTGAGACAAAGACCGGATTACCGGGAAACAGCGAAAAAAATGACAATTTTGGTGCAGAGGGCTTGTCGACATCGCATGGAGAAGAATAGGCTCTAGTGTTGCAATCAAGGGAATAGGGTTCTAGGGTACTGCTGTATTCACCCAAACCAACATCGCACCGAACGACTCGAGGACGAGGACAATAGTCTCAACACCTTGTACGAAATGTGAATTTATCCCCAACAACCACAAACAAACAGAACCACAAACACCGCCAAATCAGGCACGCTTATGATTGAATATGGGGTCTTTCTGATTAGCGGGAAAGTAAAGAGGACGTCCATTCTATCTATTCCACATGTGACGGCCTTTTCCTTACCCGGGCTTGACGAAGTAGTACAGAGTGTTGTCCACGAGCATCATCCAGCGGCGGACCAGCCGGATCGACCCGGGCTTCCAGAGGTACCCGTCCAGGGCGACCATACCGTGGCTGTTGTACAGGCAGTCGCGCACCACCGCCTCCGCCCCCGCCGACGCCTGCAGAGCCTCCTCCTCCTTGTCCTTCTCCGCCCCGTCGGGCACGAACGGAAACACGCCGCGCTCGGCCTTCAAGAGCGGAGAGATGTTCGAGTGTGGGAGGCCGAGCCTCACCTCCGTCGACGGCAGGACGATGGTGTTCGGCATCGGGGGGGGTACTCTTGCCACCGAGGCGGCGGTGGCGGCGGCGCCGTTGCCGCCTTCGCTCACGCTAGCTCTTGTGTGGCCACCGCCGGCGCCGGCGCTGGCGCCGGCGCCGTGGGCGGGGGAGTCTCCGCCCCTGCCCCTCCGTTGTTGGTCTATCGCCGCGACGGGATCCCTCGCGGGGACCGCGGCGGCGGCGGCGGGGTCGTTCTTGCCGAAGCCCGGGCTGCTGAAAATGCGGCTACCGCTCGCGTCGCTTGCTCGCGCTCGTGGAGACGAGTCAGTCATCGGCGAAGCTACGCTGGCAGTAGGAAGACTGCCGCCGCCGAAGCCGCCGCTTGCAGTGGCGGTGGTGGTAACGGTCACGCTCGAGGCGGTG